TAAAGAAATCCTTTGGATGAGATCTTGAGCCTAGGCTATAGTTGTTGGGAATGAAGTCGCCATATGAATATGGGGCTTCATATCCCATTTAGCCCATAAGCAGAGGAATCAGAGTTGGAACTAAAGAAACCTAAACAAGTCCAGTGGACAAGGACTTGAGCCTAGATTACAACAAGGTTTAATAGCGGATCAGTGGACTCATTCCATTTTTTTAACTATCGTTCTGCTATCATGTCACCTGTGTTACTCCTTGAACTTGCTCACTTATCTTTTCTAATTATTTTGTTTTATTTAGACATAAACAACAACTATAATTTTTCTTATGATCTGCCGCTCCTCCCTGAATTGGGAAGGACTTGAAATATAAAACGACGCAAGAAATTATTTTAAGTTGATCTGAACATTTTGTCATAACAGGACACTATTGTGATGACTGGGAACTATTGGATAGAATAGTTCAATACTATTAACTCATTCTTTTATTCTTTAATGTAGCTTGAAATATCAATTAGCATTACTTTCTCCGTGGGAACGATAATCTGGGGCTTAAACACTACCCTTTATTACTTTATGCGTGCATTTGTGCTAAGTGCTCTTCATTTTAGGAAACAAATGTGTTTCCCCTAGCTGATTGTAAAAAGGATCAAAAGTCATAATCGTGGGAACGAATGTGTTTCTCTCGATAGGCTGCAAGAGGACCCAACAAGGAGGTCCTTCCATTTTGCATCTCATGTTTGTAGACGACATTATTCTCTTCTTCGAAGCAACGACAAGTCAAGCTAAGGTGATCATGGAGTGTTTGAATTAGTTTTGTCAAATGCCAAGCCAAAGTGTGAGCAACCCAAAATCGACAATCTACTTTTCTTCAAACACCAGTGATGGTACTACTGAGGCCATAACAGACCTCACAAGTTATAAGAGAGTTCATAGTATTGGTAGATATCTTGGATCCTTTATTAAATAAGGTCACGATACAAAAAATAATTATGTTGCTATCATGGATCGGATCAAACGCAAGCACAACGGTCGGAAAAAATAGTGTTTATCCTTTGCCAGAAGGGTGATGCTTGCCAAGTCAGTGATAGGTGCAGTACCAACGTTTCATATGTAGAATGGCCTATTACCTATCACTTTATGCGACGAAGTAGAGCAGATCCAACATTCATTCATTTGTGCCAGCAACATCGCCTACTTAGTCTCATTGGACACCTTGTACAAACCAAAAGAAATGAGAGGGATTGGGGTTATCAACCTCTGGATCCAAAATGAGGCTTATATGCATAAACTTGCTAGAAGATTACTAAATAGAAACGAGGATCTACGAGCTAAGGTCCTTAGAGCAAATTATGGAGAGGACAAGATTTGAGATGTGGTATCATTGCTAAACCATATGACTCAAAGCTTTGGCGTGACTTAAGCAAATACTGGAATCGTTTTCTTGGGGGTCTAAGGTGGGAGTTAGGCAATGGTGAGTCCACGATATTTTGGCATGACAATTGGGTGGGCTTGGGTGAGAATCTTATGTCTCATGTCCACACGTCGATTCCCATTTTGGAAACTCACAAGACCATTGCATAAGTGGCTCCCCAAGGTGAGTGGGATATAACTATTTGAAACAGTTCTTGAATGATGAGATTGTTTCCAAGGTGCTTTGTCATCCCCCTCGGTTGATGAACAGTTCATATGACAGATTAGTTTGGGTGCAAAATCATGTCTCATTTTCACTGGTTAAAATAACATATAAAAACTTGATAAAGTTTGGTGATTCTTAAGCAGATGCCCCTTGGAAGAAAGTTTGGTCTTGGAAAAGTCCGGACCATATAAAGACTACAATGTGGCTGATCCTACTCAATAGGCTCTCGGTCAAAAGCAGAATGAGCAAGTGGAACGGGGGGTCTAACATTTGCAATGGTTGTACCAACAAGGAAGAATCCATTTTACACGTCCTACGGAATTGCAAGCATGCCCAAAGCATCTGGAGGGACTGGTTCAATAATTGTGTATCTCCAGATTTTTTCACCTTAGACATTCGTAAATGGCTGTGTAGGAATGTGTGAATAATACAAGAGGTAGAAATATTCAATCCGATTGGAGAGATGTTTTCTTCCCTTCATGCTGGTTTCTTTGGACCCGGCGTAACCATAGTATTCGTGACAGTAGCTTTCAGAGGCCATATAGAGGTAAGATTCTAATTGCTAATTCTATTTCTCAAATTATTGCAGCTAGGAACAAGAAGATGAAAATCCAAGGTAACGGATCTAACCACCACCATCCTGGTGAGTGGGGGCCACCTCTGTAAGGCTGGCTGAAGATTAACACAGATAGTGCATCCTCATACCGAAGAAAGGAAGCTAGCTATGATGGCCTTATCAGATATCGTAATGGATCTTTCCTAGGAAGTTTCTCCCTCAAACTAGGCTATTGTAACCCTCTAGATGCAGAGCTTTGGGGTATTCTTAAAGGCCTGGAGTTGGCCTGGGGGACAAGTGCTAGACAAATGGAAGTGGAATGTGATGCTTTGAACGCCATCACCTTAATTCAAGACAAGCAAAACAACCCAAGAAACTCCTAGGCTGTCACACAAATTCATAAGTGGTTTACTCAGGATTGGATCGTCTGATGCATTCATACTAGTAGGGAATTCAATACGTGTGCTCATTGGCTTGCTAGAAGAGGCCATAATGGAGATAGAAATTTACTTGTCTACCGTAGCCCCCCTTTCCAGCTTAGGGAGCTCCTTCTAAATGGTGCATCCATGTTTCAGTTTACGTCTCTTCCTTTGTAGTTTTGTTTTGTCTCGAGGCCTTGCCCATCCTTATTTACCAAACAAAAAGGCTTAATATATAATTTCTTGACATCTTATAACACGTTACTAAATTATATTTTGCCCACATGTCATAAAAATTATCATTTGGATAACCAAATGGTGGTAGCTCAGTTGGCGCATGGGAGCTGAGCAGGTGGGGGTGAGGGCATGTGTTCGAATCTCCCCAGTACCACCTTTGGGAGGGGTTTAAAGCTTTAATCCCGGACCCGCCCCGAATGGGACTAATCGCGAAGCGATGAACCGATGGAATATTTCCAACAACAAAAAATTATCATTTGGACAAATAATTTATTTTATCATATTACTATGTCAATGTTCAACTCTTCAACTGATGCCGAAGCTTTTGTGGTGTGAAAGGTGAATGGGATATTGGATATCCCAAAGGGAATGGACATGAACTCGAAATCGTTGTGGTGGGTACGAAAGACGAATTTTTGAACATCAGTTGAATGTATACCGAAATGGTGGTATTCTGATCTTAAATCAAATTTGGAGAGGATGGTAATACTATTGAGTTGATCAGGATTTTGATGGTGGTGACTACATTCAAAGCTTTATAGTCTATGCAATAATGCTATGAATCATCTTTCTTCTGACTCAAAAGGATTGGGGAGCTTAAGGTGACTAGGACATATATATATATATATATATATATATATATATATATATATATATATATATATATATATATAAGGCTTGAGCTCAACATTTGTTTCATCAATTGTTCAATTTCATTTTTCTAATAGTGAGGTAGTGATAGGGACACACGTGTGGTTGAAGAGCAATTTTGTGATTGTGGGACTGTTTCGAAGGAAGTGAAGAAGCAATGCCTTTAGAATGTGTATTATGGTGGGCACTGATGTTTGTGGTAATTGACGGCAATGTTGAAGAAATATAATATAAAACTCTTCACTTTTTAGTTTAAGTCTTTGGATTGAATTGTTCTTAACATGATATCAGAGCTTAAATTTTTGGGTGAAATTGTTGCTTATATGGTCGGTGGTTATGGGGTCGCTAGTTCGATTGCCCCTACTATTTAGAAGAATTAAATCAGCAAAAGATAAGGGGAAAAAATGAGTCTGTACAATATCCTTGCGTGAAGGGATGTATTTGTGTGAAGAGATGTGTTAGAGAGATATAATATAAAACTATTGATGATATTCACTTCTCAAATTAAGCTCTTGGGTTGAATAGACTCTTAACTGACAAGCCATAAGTTAACAAAGAAGGGTATCATCCTTACAACTACTGTCTAGATAAATCAATGTTGCTCGCCCTCTGTACTTGTTGTCGAAAGTGTATTTGTCGTTACAATTGTAACATAGGTCCTTTGCACAACAATTTTTCATTTGGGCAGGAGTGAGCTATCTGATAGGTATGGCTGGAAACGGCCTTGATAAACTGTTGGAGGGAACACGGAGGAAGTCGATGCAGGAGCAGAGGCCTCGAAGGAGAATTGATAATCCATCGTAGAACCCATATAGATAAGCTTATGGTCTGAATGACTCGTAATAAGCCATCCCATGATCCCATCCCAAGATAAGTCTTATAAACCAACAAATAGCGAATTCCATTAGTAAGCGGCCATAGTAATTTAATATAAACGGTTAGTTAAAGTGTTAATTGGAAATGGATAAAAAAAAATGACATATTCATATGAAAAAATTACAATGTGAATCAATGATGGTAATTTTATAACTATTTATTTAAAAAAAAAAAATTTGCTTCTTTTATTATCATTAATATATTTTTGTATAGTTATGATTCTTTATATTACCATGTCATAATTTTTATTTTTTTGATTTTTCAAGGTATTCTCCGGCCTACAGCTGAAGATTAATTTTTTCGAGGCAATAGATCATATTAAGTGGATAAATGTCTCCCAATAAAACCTTTCTATACATATAGCTAGAGATCGTATCTCTATCAGAATATCTTATTTTATTTTTTTAATATAAGAGGATCTACTTCCATGTTAATTGCTAGACAGAAGCAACGTGGGTCGTGACGTGTCACAAGATTATTGCTTGAGTCATGACACTGGTTAAAACTTTCCTTAATCCAAATCCAAATTAAACAAGTGGACTTTAATTTTAATTAATTGATAATCTAGGCGCACTAGTGAAGTCAAAACAGTCGTTAATGGAAATGGACAAAACGTGAATCAAATGGTAAAGCTATTGTTGCCTTTTATGCCCAAAACTTTGATCACTGAACAGTAAAATTCTCTTTTTGCTTTCAGGTTTGAACCTTATTAGCTTCCTTCAGTAGCATTCTTCTTCTGCGAAGGCAACTGCAATGTGCTCGCATTTCCAGAACTACCGTTTGAAATGCAGAGCACTTGCCATTGTTTACCTCCTTCTGCCACTCATCTGTTCCTTCTTCTCTAACGGCAATTGTCAGGTTTTTTCTTTTCTCCCTCTCTCTGTCTCACAAGAGAAGAGATCCGTTGAAATTCGATTTCGTTATTTGAGATTGAACTGAAATTGGCAGGTCTTAGAAGCATGTTCAGCTGCTAGAGATTGCGGGTCGGGTCTCTACTGTGGCAATTGCCCCGCTTTGGGTTTGAACCAGCCCATTTGCATCAGAGGCCAACCCACCCTTCCTACATCCATCGTAAGCTCTTTCCTTTCACTGATTATTCTCCAATGCCCAATTAATGGGAACTTTCCTTCAGTTTTTAGCTAAATAACACAAAAAAAGCTGTTTTTTTTTTTAAAAAAACTTCTATTTTTTGGTGAATTTCGCCTTTTTGGGGGCACTCTGCAGGTGAATGGGTTGCCCTTCAATAAGTACTCGTGGATAGTGACCCATAATTCGTTCAGCATCGTTGATGCACCTCCTTTGCCGGGTGTTCAGAGACTAACATTTTACAATCAAGAAGACACTGTGACTAACCAGTTGAGGGTATGTGTAATGTGTCTGCACATTACATTGTGACTTTGCATTTTATTCTTTTTCTTTTGTTGGATGAAGTTGGATTCTACTTCAGCTAGACAATGATTTTTTATTTCTTTTTTTGGTAATTTAATTATTAGTTTTTTTTGTACTGTTTCTTATGCAATTGTTTTTGATGATTTAGAATGGAGTGAGGGGACTCATGTTGGATATGTACGACTTCCAGAATGATATCTGGCTCTGTCATTCATTTCGAGGGCAATGCTTCAACTTCACTGCCTTTGTAATGTGACCCTCTTTGTTATAAGTGTGATTTTTATGGTTTTGCTTGCATGGGGCGTCGACTAATATGTCCATTGAAATGTTCTCAGCAACCTGCAATAAATACTTTGAAAGAAGTCGAAGCATTCTTGACGGAAAATCCAGCTGAGATTGTCACAATCATAATTGAAGACTATGTGCACACTCCAAAGGGGTTGACTAATGTGTTCACAAGTGCTGGACTGGATAAGTATTGGTTTCCTGTGTCTAAGATACCGAAAAAGGGTGACGATTGGCCCACTGTAACAGAGATGGTTCAAGCAAATCACCGACTCCTTGTTTTCACTTCTGATGCTTCAAAGGAAGCTGAAGAAGGAATAGCTTATCAGTGGAAGCACATGGTCGAAAATGAGTGTAAGCACGATATCATTTTAGCATGTATACCTTCTTTATACATGGTTTGTAATGGCAGCCTCATAATTCATTTATTTTCAGCTGGAGATCCCGGAGTTCAACAGGGTTCTTGCCCACATAGAAAAGAATCAAAGGCATTAAATTCGAGAGGTTCTTCACTTTTCTTGATGAATTATTTTCCAACATATCCAGTTGAAGCTGACTCATGCAAAGAGCATTCGGCTCCACTTGCTGAGATGGTGAATACATGTTACAAAGCTGCAGGGAATGTGCTGCCCAACTTCATAGCTGTTAATTTTTACATGGTACTCCTTATTGCTCAGGGGTGTTAATTGAAACTTGATTATTGATCTCTATACAACATATACCCTGCACACTTTAGCATTCTGAATGAAATTTCATGCAGAGGAGTGATGGAGGTGGTGTTTTTGATATTGTGGATAAAATGAATGGCCACACATTGTGTGGGTGTAGTACAATCACAGCCTGCCAGGTTTGTCTGCATTTCTTGTCCAGATATGTATTGTCTTTATGCCATTTGTTTGTGAACCTTTTGTATTCTCAGAATTCCTTATTTCTTTCTGTGTTATGTTCCAAAACTAGTGACTAGATACCTAATTAAGTATAATTTTGCACCCAGTAGAAAGTCTCGAGAATTTCATCTAATTTGCAATTTTCAGCAGTCATTTATTCAAAATAGTTGTCCACATGAACAGAATATGAGACATTGAGGCTCTTTGAAGCCTGACTATGTGTCTGTTACTGTTCTTGCGAATATAGAATCAGACAATTGGTCTGTTAGTCACCACATTTAAAATTTCTCTACACTTTTTTTTTTTAATATAAGTGTGCATGTTTATATTTCTTGAAACCTACAATAATTCGGGAGATACCTTAACTTGTATGATCAGTGGCGGATCCAGGAATTTGATGAAGGGTGGGCACCTCCGCACCTGAAATGCAAAAAAATGAGATCTAACTTTTGCGGTTTCCATCACCAAGAATAACTACTTTATCTTTAGGTTGAGATTTGACCCCAGGATGTGACAAAGGGGGAAGGAAGTAAACAGCAAATAAACTGGCCGACACAAAGGTATGGGAAATTCCTTCAGCCTCAATGGCTCTGCGAATGTTGGCCTTCACCTGAAATGCACTCTTTGCTGGACCCACAGCATGAGTCCTGTCCACATCATTTCCAAACTCTGAAGGAAAGAATCTCTGCGAAACAATATAATTATTATAGCAAGCTCAAACTATGTTTCTGTTAGAAATCAAATTTGATTTTGCAACATCCACCACCAATCTAGAAAATCATAGAAGAATCAAGAGTTGCTAAACCAGAAAATTCCTGAAGCTATGTGGTGTGGAAGATCAAAGAAGCAACCAGAAAACTACCATCGCCGTTCAAGAAGAATCTACAAGATTTGATAAATAAAAGACTTGCCATTTATTAGAAGAATCTACATCACTCAAGATGTGTTGCCAACAAATAATAATAAACAAATGAAAAAGAAGACAAGTTGGCAAAGATGAAACAAAACATGTCATTGAAGAAAGATGTAGAAAGTTGTAGACTTGTAGCAAAGGAAAGAAAAGTCCAAGTAGAAAAAGTTTAGAATATTATATTATATAGAAGAAAAAGTCGGTAGGTGAAGTCTATATAAAGGTGTATGTTGTAGTTTGATATGTGTGTAAGTGAGATTAGGAATTAGAAAAGAATAGAAAGAAAAAGAGAGAAGAAAAGCACAAAGTGCCGTAACACTTAAATTAGAAAAGAATGAGATAGATGTGTGATGAGAAAGTGAGAGATAGAAGGAATAAAAATTTTAAGTGAAGGGTATTTTGGTATTTTCATATCAAATTTTAAGGGTGGGCACTTGCCCCCCTTCTCCCTTACCTGCCTCCGCCTCTGTGTATGATGGCAAGAAAAATTTAGTCACTTGGGGATGAAGGTGAATTTTCATTTTGTTGAAAGTATAGAAAAACATTAATATGCTCGAATTTAATTGTTACTCAAAATATTTTGTAGCTCCGGAGTCATTTAGCTTTACTATTAATAAAGAGAAAAGGGAGGTAGTTTTGCACGTTCACTTTCTGCCCCATAATTTCTAAAAAGATTTTTGTCTAACTCAAATCTTTGTTGAACAAAGAAATAAATTTATAGGCTTATAAAAATCAATGTAATAGATTGACATTAGTAATAACATCTCCATATTGTCTCTTGACTTTCCTTATTTTTCTTAACTATCTTCTCAACCATTTGTATTAATTGCATCTGTTCCATTTTATGGCATCATATAGCACACAGTATTTGGGAAAAAGTTGATTAAGATCCCTACAGTCATAATGTAGCCCACATATTCATCTCTTGGTGTTTTGTTGTGTTGTATTATATGACACGGTAGAATGCTTGATATGGATGGATTTCTATCAAAGACAATGACGTAATTACTGCAATTTTGCAGGCTGGTGCACATTTTGGGTCATGCAAGAATATTTCTGTACCTAGTGCAAGTCCAATGACCAACACTGCTGGAGGTTTTACTGGATCTGTTCAGTTCTCTAGTTCAGCTTCGCCTGTCCATTCTTCAAATTGCTTGCTTCTCTTTTTTTACTTCCTGCTTTTTGCAGTTTTGTTGCAACTGTGATGACTAAGAATTATCAAATCTTATGCAAGCTAGTCTTTCAAGAGGAGCTTAGTATCTTAGCATGTATTGCCTCAAGCTGTGAAATGTCATGGAACTGTTGCTGTTTTAGAAAAATAGATAAACAACTTTATGTTTTCGCTGATGCTATATATACAGACCAAGAATTTATCTGGAGCTATAAGCAGTTCAGGTATGTTGCGTTCTTGCTGTAGAAATCAAATTCTAGATGCTGGAACAATGGATGTGTATGCTTTCATTTGTTTCTCTCATTGGATTATTTCTGTTTTCACATTTGCAATGATGTGGTTGGCAAAATTACTTTCCAGATACTGATTTTGATAAGACATTGATTGGATCTATTGACCAAGCTGTGATTAGGTACACCAACATTCACATCATCTTTATCCCAAACAACTATTATAGTTGGGTACCAAGTTTTTTTTTTTTGTTTTAATTCGTTGGGGAGTGTGAAAGATGCTAAAAATTTAAAGTACACGTAGCCTAAGCTCTTCCATCAAACTTCAAAGTTAAGTTGGATTAGATAATGCTTCTCTCCAGGGAAGTATGTGATTCTACCTGCTATAGTTGGTAGCTTTCGCACTGAATGAGCTCAGTTGTCTGCTTCATGAGCTGGAAGTCTGAGTCTGAGTTCATGTTTCCGAGGGTTGGAAAATTTTATCTTACTGATTTTGAAGCTTAGTGGATGAGTTGCTCGTGATGATAAATAAATGAAAGCCTTTATTAATCCTTTATGTACAATGATTGCAGATGTGGGTTCAATAATTGTTTTTTCTTTTTAAAAAGTAAAAAATAAAAAAACGCATAGACTGCTAAATTTTTAGATGGAAGGGGTCAATCATATGCATTCATGATTGTGTATTTGATAAGGTGACATGACCAATGTTATGGATCATATTGTCAATATATACCCTTTTTTCTTTTCCTTTCTTTGTTCTTTTTGTTCATGTAATTGCTTGGTTTATGCCTATATTGGGAGAGTGAGGATTTATTTTATAAATGCATTTGGTCCATATGGAAAATACATTACTATGAAAAGGAGTGAAGAGTTTGTTGTATTTCATTGAAAAAAAAATTTCTTCAGATTGTTCATCTTAATGCAATATTTTATATCCTTCCCCCTTTTGTGTTGAAAATCTTGTCCTTGAATCCCCTAAATCTTTCATCCAAGCGCTGCAGCACTTTTCTTCTTTTTTTGAATATAACCTTTTGCCATATTGTTGTTTGTTGTTCCGTGGAAATTATGATCCTCCAATGTGATAGTTAATTCTCTCTTACTAGATACCTCTGCAACTTGTTGCAACCCCATTCCTTGAAGCTTGAACTAAATAATAGCTTATGTCTATATGTAAAGAGTTCTGTTCGGAAAACTATAATTTTTTATTTTTTAATTTTTTGAAAAATTTTCTTAGATGGATTGGAAGGTGCTGACAATTTTTCTGGTGTAAATATCTTTGATATATTTTTTCCTCTGGTGGTATCTTAGTAATGATAATAACTTTCTTTCTCAGTATCCCTGAAACTCAACCTTTCCATTGCTTGTAACTTCTCTGAACTATCAACCTTACTCCTCATATAGGTCTAATTAATTTCGGGTTTCTTGTTTCTGCTGTAAAGCTAGTCGAACATTTCTTGTCTTGCAGTAGAAATAGCTTGAACGAAATCCTTCTTTTGAATATTAAAAGATAATAAATTGAAGGTGTTATAATGGGTAAACGTTCCTGAAATATTTTGCTCAAAATATCCTTTGAAGGGGTATACACGCACCACACTTTAGACTAATATGATGCTTTATGTAATGTGTTCCAGTCATGCTTTTTACAATGTGGATAAAATCCCACTTGTGTTGAATGGTGATTATGACTATATTTGAAACAATTTTCTTCTTTTCTTTCATTATGTGATCCTTGGTAAATTTTAGAGTTATCAATCAGGTAAGCCATCTTTTCGTTTGTCTAGTTCTTTTACCCCTAGGCTGGTAAATTTAGTGCTAGTGTAGGTTTTGTTTATGGTTGCTTTGCTTTTCTCATTCTTTTTACCCCTGATTTGCTTTGCTTGCAAATCAGAGTCGTTGATCTTTTTTTATCTAACGGCTCTTAGATGAGGTGTCAAAATTGAAATTTGACACCGGTGTCAAAGGATCCTATCTCTCTCTCTCTCTCTCTCTCTCTCTATATATATATATATATATATATATATATATATATAATTTACGTTGTTGACATGGCGTGAACTTTTGATAATTGATTATATAATTTTTGTGGTGTCTTAGTAATGCTGATTATTTTGTATGTTTGCAAATACACGTGACTTCATTTTTGCCCTCCCTAATATTTATGACGTTTCCCCTTTTGAACTTACAGCTTTTGTACCAAGAAATCATTTGTCAACGACAGAATCAGGATAGAACGGCTAGAAGCTCTTGATCATTGTTAAGGTTATAAGTTATGATTGTATCCTAACAATTCACATTTCGCGTCTTCTTCCTATTACCCGGTCTTCCACTTTTGTATTGGTGTTGAAACAACCAAGTTGTCTGATACATAGCAAATTACTATAATAGGTAGGTACAACGGCAATTTAGTTTACAGAGGAACTTGCATGGGGTTTGCATTATGAGAACATCATGTAGATTTGTTCTTACAATATAAATCCAATTGGTTTAGAATCCAAAATGAGATGTTTTGGGATTTGGATAAAATATGGAGGGTGTTTTAAGAAAATTTGTGTTGCGGGAGGAATAAAATTTCTAAAATGTACTGAACTTTTTTTTCCTAAATCTCAAAAAGAGATAATTTTATTGTTAGCGTAACTATCCTCAGACAATTTGGGGAATCATATAACATGAACTTTGGCTTTCATGAATGACACTATTTTTTTAACCTGTTTCATATTTTTGCGGTTTGGGAAATAAATGGAGGGAATTTTGGGAAAAATATTTTTCAAGATGAGCGAAATCTTCAAATCGTCATGAATTTTTCACTTAAACCTCAAAATGTGTTTTGGGCAATGTTATTAAACTCGACTCGGGCTCGGTCGAGGTACTGGGTCATTGATTCAACCAGTGAGTCATTGGTTCAACTGCATGACCCGGTAAGTATTTGTAAATCTATAATTTATATTAAAAAAATTATAAATATATTTAAATACTTGTAAAAAAATATACCAATTTCAAATATTTTAATATGAAAATAATAAATTACACATAATTGTCCAACAAAAAATCAATCAAACATATAATATTTGTGATACTAATGTTTCAGGTTCAGTAAATAACATCTCTAACTATAAATCAAATCAAAATTCTCTGAGAGTTAATAAGCTAATAAGCTACATAATCAAATCAAATCAAGATAATATTAGTGTTGTAGGTACATAATATATGTAAGTTAATAAGCTACAAATCACTCAAATATTTCAAAAGAAAACAAATCATTTGTGTTTGAGAGTAGAACAAATAAGACATTAATTTACGAAAATAAATTAGTTTTTTTTATAGACCGGGCCGGGTCACCGGTTGAACCGACCAGGTCACCGGTTTTTACGAAAATCGGCCGGGTCGCATCGGGTCACACCGGTTCTGTAACATGGCCGGTCCAATATGAAAATCAGATCGGTTACATGACCGATTCACCGATTTCCGGGTCGACCCGGCCGGGTTGGTCTGGTTTTTATAACATTGGTTTTAGGCTGTGTTTGGTACAAGCTATCTTAGGAGATAGATAGGCATTGGCAATTTGGGAATCTAGTTATACCATGTTTGGTTGAACAGATTTCAAAATTTTCCTACCAATATTATTTCCCTAGCCATCATGTTTGCATGTAAATTGCACCAAAATAAATGTCCTCACAATCCCACTTTGGATGTGGTATTTCACGTTGTTTAGCTAAATAGCACAAAAAGTAACATTTTGCTTACGAACATACTCTTACCTTATCTCACCGAATCTGAATATCTTCTACCAATTCTAACCGTGGACTTCTCTGACCACTTTTTGTTATCCAGACTTATAGCTCACTATTTGATATCCGTAGTTGCACACACTTTTTGATATAAAAGGGTTATTTTTGTAATTGTAATTCATTTTCCATCAATATTTTATCTCAAACTAATCATAGACTCAAACCAAACATAGACTTTATAAATTTTACTTAATTTTTCCGGTAAATTTTTTTCCAACCAAACAACTTTTTTTATATTTTCCTACCAAACTTATTTTTTCACCATTTTCCTATTAATTATAATTTCTTAGTATTCAAAAACTTTCTTCTGAATCAAATACCCCCTTAAGTAGTCGGTATTTTCCAGGATTTTCAGAAAACTGAATTTTTCTAAATTTTTAATTTTCGAATATAATCGTAAACTGAATGTTTTCATCATATTTCTGAAAATCGAGATTCCCGAATAAATAAAAAAAATTTCTCTACCAAACGCCCCTAGGGTCTCTAAGAGAAAATTTATAGTTACTACAAGTATAAAAAAGAACCTTGGGGGTAATCATGGTATACCCTTTAGTATGTATGATGAAATCATCATCATCAGAACTCTTGACTAAATTATCTGCTAAACTTGTTCAGGAGAAACAGTATTACCAAATCCAATATCTGATTTATCCAATAAAAAAAGTCCAATATCTGTAATTGTAAAATATGCATGAATAAATCCTACTTATAGAAATCTTTTACCAGTTTGACGGTTCAACTTGAATGTAATCGTCGTGATTGGATATGAAGAGTTTAGAGTTGTGTTATTACGGGAGTCCACGACCCAGATTTCTAAAGCCCATGCCACATATCAATCAGTAGCCCAAGCAAGCATTCCAATTGATAACATGTCAGGAAGTATAAGTTCCCATGCCACATCAGAAGTATATGGACGAAGGACTAACCATAAGAGAAGCTAAAATAACATAATCTTGTTACTGGAGTTCATTTTTCTTTTAGTTAGTTTTAATTGTTTTTAGTTGTATCAGTTATTCATCTTCTTTAGCTTACTTTCTTTCTCATCTGATTAATGTATTCCGAGCTTACCTATAAATAAGGAAGCTTTAGTGTAAATCAATTCATTGATAAATGTTATCAAAATTCACAAATCTGTTACGTGTGTCCTTGTATATTTACTACAACAGCTTTATGTTTGAGCTATAGGTAAATTAAGCTCAAAATCACTAAAAATTTCTTTAAATTAACAATCGAAAGAAATAAAGATTCTTCCCCGACTACTACATGTAGGGGTGTGCAAAAAGACTGGTTCACTTATCCTGCTCTTGATCTGACCTTGACATGACCCATAAATAACTATTTTTTTTGAACTGATTTAAATACTGTCCCACTTTTATTTGGGTCAATTTTAAACCTGACTTGTTTTAATAATGACCCATTGACCCAAAACTTGACTCATACCCATTATGTGAAAAAAAGAAAAAGAAATTCACAATAACATTAAAAGAAAAGCTTTAACATAAAATTTTTTTACGGAAAATATTTCCATCAAAATTTTTCGCAAAATTTTTTAAAGAAAAATATTTTCATCAAAATTTGTGACTAAAAATATTTCTGTAAAAAAAGTTGACGGAAAAACTTTTTTGTCAAATTTTTTTACAGAATCTAAATTTCGTCAAAATTTTCACAAAAAAAACATATTCATCAAAAAATTCGACAAAACACATTTCTATAGAAATTTTTTGACGGAAAATTTTTTTATCAAAATTCTTTACAGAATTCAAATTTCGGCAAAAAATTTCGACGGAAACATTTTCGTTAAATTTTGTGACAAAAAAAATTTCGTCAAAATTTTTAGGGAAACACATTTCTATCGAAAATTTTCGACTAAATATTTTCGTCAAGTTTTTTGATAAAAAATATTTCCATCAAAATCTTCAACGGAACACATTTCTGTCACAAAATTTCGTAAAATTTTTTGACAAAAAATTTTTCGATAAAAAATTTTGACGGAAAAAATATTCTGTTAAAAATTCTTTAAAGAATCTAAATTCCGTCGAAAGTTTTGAAAGAAACATTTCCCTTAAAATAATTTCCGTCGAAATTTTTGTCAGAACATATTAGCATATAAAATGCTTCTATCCACGTGCTCTTATCAAGGATCCACTGCAAATCTATTAGTGTGCTAGTTACACCTGATTATAGCTTCATTAGTCTGTTACAGAGTTTGTTACTGTTGCTCTATATAAATGAGCTTCCTGTGTATTTGTTACATAACGTGAATATATCATTCTCAGTATTCATTGACTCTAATGGCTTTTCTCACTTCTCTCTCTCTCTCTCTCTCTCTCTCTCTCTCTGTGTGTGTGTGTGTGTGTGTGTGTGTGTATTCTTTCAATTCTACTATGGTATCAGAGCCTTCTTCTTGAAGGCCTGATCCATAGTGTGGTTCATCATGACTTCCGCAACAGCTTCTTCACCATCAGATTCAGAACCCTCACAAGTACATCATCGTTCATCTACACAAGCGAAGTCAAGTATAGAGGATCGAGCAACAGAAATCAAAAGTCCACAACTATTCAATCAACAGATTACAGTGAAGTTAACAGAAGAAAATTACTTGTTCTGGAATCAAATTGTTGAACCGAATATTACATCTCATCAAATGCATCGTTTCTAAGTGAATCCAAAAATTCGACTTCAGTTTCAGTCAGAAGAAGATCGAATCAATGGAATACAGAATCCAGCATATGTAGATTGGATAACTCAGGATTCAATGCTCCTGTCGTGGCTACTTTAAACTATCTCTGAGTCAATAGTAAATGAGATCCTTGGAGTAAAGCATTCACATGAAGCTAGGGACAAAACTCACAAGCTATTTCAAGGTATGATGAAATCGAAAGCAAGACTTCGGCGCTCAGAACTTCACTCGATCAAGAAAGGTTCGAAAACAGTTAAAGAATTTCTCTCTCGTATCAAAGGTATCTGTGATTCACTAAGAGCTATAGGAAGTCCAATAAGTGATGAAGAACGAACCTATATTGTTCTTGGAGGTTTACCATCTTAATATGTTGCATTCATTGCTACTGTTCATGGACGTGAAAATCCATATTCTATTGAGGATCTTAGCATTCAGTTGTTAACTCATGAACAAATCCTTGCTAAGCAATCCGAAACATTATTTTTAGATTCAACAAATATTAATCTGACACAACATGTAAATGATGTGGGAAAACAGAACACTATTGATAACAGTGGAGTCAACAACAATATACCTTCAACTATTTCACGCGATCAAGGACAGAGAACTGGCTTTCATAACTCTGATCACTCAGGCCGCTCATACTCTTCAAACAGAGGTAGAGGACGTTATGGAGGACGTAATATCAGAGGTAGAGGACGTTATGGAGGTAGATCAAATGTGCAATGTTAGTTGTGCTACAAATTTGGACATGATGTCCATACATGTTGGTACCGATATGATGATAACTTTGTTCCTACATTTCCACCTCCTACTAACACATCTCAGATGCTTCCTCAATCTTAGATGAATCACATGCCTCGACAAGGTCGCTCGTTTCAGTATATTCGACCTCAGAATGTGCAACCACAAGCTATGGTTGCTACTCATTCTGGACCTCTATCTACACCTGCCTTGG